TGTGTCTGTGTGTGTTTCTGTGTGTGCTTCCTGCCTAGTTGCCTTTGCCCCGGGCCGCCAGTTCGGCTTGGGCGGTGGCCAGTCTCTCCTGGAGGAGCTTCTGCTCTGCAGTGGCCTCCTGCAAAATAGGTCGGATGTCATGCTAAATCCAAACCACTAGATTCCCTCGTAAAGCTCTTAAACTCCAACCCCAAAACTTGTAAACCCTTAAACCCCTAGCCTAAACCCTACAGAAAACCTTTAAACCCAAAAAATTTAGAGATTTAAACTCTGGTGCCACAGCAGAAACTTTAAGCAGTGGTTTTTGAGGCGGCCTTGAGCTCCGTCCTGAGCTTCACCTTGGTCTCGGCGAAATCGTTGATGATCCGCATCTGCGTCAAATTTCTGCTCTGTGCGGCCTTCCCGGACAGAACGGCATGAATGTTCAACACTAAACCCTAAACTGCCTAATCTGTTTGCCAAAGCATGACTAGGAAAGCCAAGATTCAGTGAGCTCACTGCGAAGCTGTTCCATCTCGGAGCTCGGATCTCGGCGTGGTGCCTGTGCAGAAGCAGGTTTCAAAAAGGGCCAATCTACTACTGGGCACTTGTTTAACTGAACAACACAACAAAATGGTACTTAGCTTACTCTGATGCACCTGCACCTCCGCCTGGAGCTCCTGAAATTGCTCGCGGAGTCGAGAGATACGCTCGTCCTGTGGACTGCTCGGACTCAGAACTCAGGCTTTAATTTAAAGCCTACGATACCTTTTGCTTCCCTGGCCTGCCAATCTCTCAAATCCCGGAGCTCCCCCCGCAACTTTTCCGCCACAACGCCATCCTGAAGGTTTTGGAAGGCAAGCATCGATCGAAGACAATCACAATTTATTTTTGTGCTAAGCTTAGGTTAAATGGAATTACTTCGAGGACTCGTCCTGACTGTTCATCTCGTCCAGTGCATCCTGCACAATGTACAACTCGGTTGTCTTTTGGGCGGCCATGGTTAGTGCCGCTTCTAGTTCCCCCCGGACTTCGGCCGTCTCCAGGGCAGCCCGAGAGTGGCGGAAAGCAGAAGTCTCCTCCATGGTGCGAAGCTGCTGCGCCTTCGAGATTTAGGTTGCCTAGGTTCCTAAGATTTAAACCGGATGCAAAAATAGGCCCTATAACCCTTAGCATCAAAACCAAAAGGCTTATATGATAGGGTCATTGGGCCAAAGCCTTAAAATATGAGGCCTTCGATGCTAAGCGTAAGATCCCGTCCTGGCAGGCGTGAAGATTCGCCATTTCTTCGTGCACTGGCAATGCCTGTCAGGATAATTTAATGTAAATCCTAAGCCGCCTAAACTCGAATGTTAAAAAACACAAATGAAATTTGTGCGACCATTCAGCGAGACGCTCGGGACTCTTCCAGCTCCTCTGCCAATCGACGCTGCAGCTCCTGTGGCCGAGATTTTTTACGTGAGGTTTAGGCTTAAGCTTATTGGTTTGGGGTTCGTGAACCACAAAATAACTCGTAAACCGTCAATCAATGAATCCCGTCCTCGCTGGCAGTCATCTGACGTGCTTCCTGCAGGAGCTCAGCACGCAGCTCTGGAAGTGCCTGTCAGGCTAATTTAATGTAAACTCTAAGCTTGAACCATCTAAACTCGGGTGGAACAAGCAAGAACCACATTATGCGCCTAAATCCGAAATCGTAACACCGGAACCCTTTGAAACCTAACGCCTACCCGTTAAGGCCTCAATCGTCAAAGCTCCAAACCCTGAAGCCCCAAGCCCTGAACGTCTGAAGCTCTAACAACAGATCGAGACACCCTGGTGCTCTCGCGCTCCAGCTGCTCCGCAGTCCGCAGCTGCTGCTCCTGTAGGGTTGAGGGTTCTTACATTCCTAAGTTTTAAAGCCAAAAATAACCCTTAAGATCCTGTCCTGGTTGGCGTGAAGGTTCGCCATCTGTTGCCGGAGCTCTGGCAATGCCTGTCAGGATGCTTAATTGATCTAAAGCTTAAACCCGGCTACAAAAAATGAAAATGAAAATTAAAAGATCGAGAAACTCGGCAGTGGCTCTGTGCCAGCTCCTCAGCCAGATTTCGCTGATGCTCCTGCGGGAAGTGTCAGTAGGGTTTAGGGTTTAGGCTTTTTGAACTCAAAAATTAAAATAACCCCTAGGTAGCCGTGAATCCCGTCCTCGCTCTCGGCCATCCTTGCCACCTCTTCGCGGAGCTCTGGCACGGCGAAGCTGTTCTGCTGCAGCTCCTCCTGTGGGGCCGAGTTGAGAAGTGTCAGTAGTTTTTAGGATTTAGGGTTCCTAAGTTACCGTTAAACCCTTTTACAATGGTGAACGTCAACGCCAAATAAAGTAACCCCTAAGCCGTGAATCCCTTCCTCGGTGGCATGCATGCGCTCCGTCCTATGCCGCCATCCGCGGTCCGTTGCAGTGGAGCTCCTGGTCTCAAACTTAAAATTTAAAGGTGTTCGGAAACTTACTCCTTTAATAAGTTGGGAAAGTAAAAGGTTAACCTTTCAGATTACTACTATTAAGTTAAAAGTTGGCTATTGGGGAACTAAGTCAATGTGTCCTGCCACGCACACGATCATAGGGCCCATAGGCTCCTCTTCCACGCGGCGCAGCAGGCGGCATGTTGTGAACCGGACCAGCAGGAAATTCGTGACCTCCGCCCGGATGAGCAGCAAAACCATGACCAGCAGGGAATCCGTGACCAGGAAAGCCGCGAGGCTCCAGCCAAGGCGCCGGAAAATCCCAGCCAGGACGAGGATGACAATGACCTGGCCAAAAAGGTCCACCAGGTGGTGGACCCCAAGGTCCGAAGCCGCCATGCGGAGGCCCGTGAGGTGCCCAATCAGGCGGAGCTCCATGCAGGCCATGTGGCTCCCACCAACCAGGATGCATGACTGGAAAAAATCTTTTTCTGATCAGTAAACATCCCTGGATCATACAATTAACAGCAATCCAAACAATATTGAATCCATAGATGCTACGTTATGACATAAAGATTTCATGGCCTTTGACTAGTTGACATAGCTTAAGACTAGGACGGTATCTCATCGTCTTCGATCCCCAGACTTTCCTTTTTGAAC